CCCCCCCACCCCAGCGGAGCAGCTCCGAGCCCCCCTCCCCGACCCAGGGCTGTGCAGCTTCCACCCCCACCCCAGCGGAGCAGCTCCAATCCTCCGCACTGGCTCACCGTAATGGGGTCCACAGCAGCCAGGCGCCAGACGTCCTTTTTGGAGGTCGGGCTGCTCCTGGGAGCTTTCTTTGCCTGGATTCTGGCCATCAGGGCCTGAAGGATTTTTCGAGCAAAGGTAGAATCTTCTGCCAGTGCTTCCCACAACTCGGTGATGTTGCTGTAATGGAAACATCAGTGGCTCCCCAGCACTCCCCAGGTAAATTCTGCGTGGCATTCAAGGCCCTCCACCAACTAACACTGCCCCACCCCACCAGCTTGATCCCACATCACTCCCTTTGACTCACTCTCCAATCCAACCAAACTGGACCACACCAACACACACACCGTGTTCTCCCATCTAGGTGGGGCCACAGCAAAGAGAGCACTAGGCCTGCAGTCAGGAAGACCCCAGTTCAAATTCAGCCTCAGACACTTACTGGCTGTATGACTCAGGGCCAGTCACTTTAATCTGTCTGCCTCAGTCTCCTGGACTGTAAAATGGGGATAATAATAGGACCTCCCAGGGTCGTTTTGTGAGGATCACAGGAGATAAAACACCGGCACATAGTATGTTCTTAATACATGTTTGTTCTACTTCTCCCCATCTCTATGCCTTCCCTCAGCCCACGCCCTCTCCCTAGGATGTCCCCTCTCCTTCTCTTGGCCTGGCAGATTTCTGCCCATCCCCTGCAGTCCAGCTCAGATGGCGTCTCCTCCCTGAATCCCCCTTGGACGCCTCCTACACCTTTGCTTCACCTTTCTCTAAAAGTGCCCATTGAGTGATCCTGGGTGTGAGTTCTCTGTGGGTCTCACCCTCCCCAGCTGCTGATTCCAAGTGGGTGGGAGCCACATCTTAGCCAAATTGCAGCTCCATTCCCTCCAGTGCCTAGCAGAGTGTTCTGCACACAGTAGGTCTTCAATACATGTTGGGTGAGATCAGATGAATTGACTAAATAACCAACCTGATTGTGTGGAGGCAGCACCTCCCCAGGGGCAGGGGCTTCCCAAGCTCAGCCCCCAGTCCAGGGCCAGGCTCAGCCTTCTAAACTCTCCCTTCCAAATCCCAACGTCTGTGATTCGGTGCTGTGACTCTGGGTAAGTCATTTCTTCCCCATGGGCCTCCTTCCTCCTCTCTGCAGTGAGGGGTGGGGGGCTCCATGGCCACTAAGAGGCTTTCTAGATAAACCTGTGGATGGTCTTAGGGATGGCGTGCATGCGAGCCACGGTCAGATAGGGAGAGCAGACAAAGAATCCTGAGGGGACTTGAAGGACTAAATGTGTGTGTGGGCATGATGGGGGCTTGGGTTTCCTGCGCTGCACCTCTGGTCTCACTGGACTAGGGATCTACCAGAGCAGGCCGGCACCTTCTCTGAGATGGACAGCCTTAGAGACTCACCTTGGGCACAGAGTGGCTCATTGACTTGCCCAGGGTCACACAGTCAGGATGTGTCAGAGATGGGACTCAAACCCAGAACTTCCTGACTTTACGCCTGACCCTCCAACCAACATGCCACCCTGCTTGTAAGGTGTGAAATCGATTTACTTAAGTGGGACTAGTTGTTCAACCCCTCTGGTCATATGTATTGATGCTTAAGGTTGTTTCTATAAAAACGTTCCGTTAAGGAGGGAGAGGACAAAAAGCATGTGTCATCCCCCAGATTCAGGACTAAGACGTGAGTCTCCAGGCCAATGTCCACCTACCTGTCCAGAGGCAGTGGCTGCCTCAGGAGGGAAGTAATGACTGTCTCCTGGTAGGAGTGAGCCAGCCAGAGGACAGCTTTCACCAGCGGGCGCCGCACGTCTGGATGAAGCACGGAGGGCAGATATGCCAAGATGGTGCTCAAGATCTCTGGCACCTGTGAAGGATGGCGACCATGGCCCTGGGCAAGGCTGGCACTTCGGGCTGGCAGCCTGCCCCCAGACCTCCGCCCGCCCTACCTTGTCTTCCAGCTCATGGCCTCGCAGCCTGAGAATGGTGTTGAGCCAGAGGACGGCAGCCTTGTCGTGGGCGAGGTTGGTGGCCCCCAGGCTCTCACAGGTGCTCTGCAGAAGGATGACCAGCTCCTCCCATCGCACTTCCTTGCTAATCACCTGTGAACAAACCAAGGCCCGCCGGCCAATGGAGACACAGGCAGAGGCCATCGGAATGCTCCTCAGCTCCCGCTGGCAGGAGCAGAGCTTCCTTACCTGGCTGGGCCCGTTGGCTTTTTAATGCTTTTCATTATCACTGGTCTCCTTTGCAGCCCTAAGTATTTTGTTTTACCCGTTTAAACACACAGCAGCAGCCCAGAATCCTCACCACCGGCACAGCCCCTGTGAACAGGGCACCAGCTCGTTCCACTTCGGGGCAGAGCTCATTGTGGGGAAGTCTTTCCCAGAATCAAGCCTAAATTGACCTCCTGACAGCTTTTACCCACAGCACCTAGGCCTGCCTGCCATGTAACAGCCCTCCACATAATTGGAGACAATCAGCTTAGACACCTTCTCCTGCCCCCAGCACCCCATTCTGCTGACCCCTCTCTTCTCCAGGCTAAAGATCCCAGTGTGGCCCCAGGGCCTTTGACCATCTTGGTAGCCTTCCTATGTACATCCTCCAGTTTTCTGAGTGTGCTTCGTAAAATATGGTGCCCAGAACTCTGATGAGGTCTGACCAAGGAAGGGGCCAGTGGGACCGCCAGCTCCCTGGGTCTGGATACTACCTACTGCCAGTGATCTCATTGGCCCTCTCAGCCGACACACCCCATGTCTGACTCCTGTGGAGCCAACTCACCCCTCTCTTTCCTCCTGTCCCCACTAGGTCTCTGATGTCCAACCTACAAGCAGGAACCTCCCAAACACACAAGCAAACAGAGAGCAGCCCTGATGCCATGGCACCAGAGGTGAAATCTCAAGGGATGCCCTTCAGTCCATCATTTAAGAGATCCCTGAGCTCCCCAGAAAGAAGCTGACCCGAGGTTGGAGGTTACTACACAGCCTGGGGAGAAGCAGCCTGGCCAGGGGAGGAGGGGAACGCCTTAAAGAGAACACAGGGGGATAGCTAGGGAAGGCCCCAGGAGCTGCCCCTTCAGTGTCCTGGGCCTGGTCTGTCATGGCAGCAAGTGGGTGAGCAAATAGAGCACAGGTTCTCCAATCACAAAGACCTGAGTGCAAATCCTGCCTCAGAGACTTGCTAGATGTGTGACCCTTGGAAAAGGCACTCCACCTCCATCTGCCTCAGTTTCCTCACGTGTGGAATGGAGATAATGATAGCATCAACCTTTAGAGTTGTTGTGAGGATCAAATGAGTTAATACATGTAAAGTCTTTTACAAACTTTAAAGTGCTAGATAAATACTAACTACTAGTAGTAGTAGTAGTAGTGGTAGTAATAATAGTATAATAGTAGTAGTGGTGTTGTAGTAGTAGTAGTGGTAGCGGTGGTGGTGGTAGTGGAAAGAGTGGTGGCAGTAGTAGTAATAATAGTACTAACAGTAGTAGTAGTATAGTAGTGACAGTAGTAGTAGTAGTGGCAGTGGTGGTATTAGTACCAGCGGTGGTGGTGGTAGTAGTAGTCGCAGTAGTTGTGGTGGTGGTATTAGTACCAGTGATGGTGGTAATAGTAGTAGTGGCAGTAGTGGTAGTGGTGGTGGTGGTGGTGGTAATAGTGATGGCAGTAGTAGTAATAATAGTACTAACAGTAATAATAGTGTAGTAGTAGCAGTCGTGGCTGGTGGCAATAGTGGCAATGGTGGTATTAGTGCCAGCGGTGGTGGTAGTAGTAGTAGTCGCAGTAGTTGTGGTGGTGGTATTAGTACCAGCGGTGGTGGTAATAGTAATAGTGGCAGTAGTGGTGGTGGTGGTGGTGGTAATAGTGATGGCAGTAGTAGTAATAATAGTACTAACAGTAATAATAGTGTAGTAGTAGCAGTCGTGGCTGGTGGCAATAGTGGCAATGGTGGTATTAGTGCCAGCGGTGGTGGTAGTAGTAGTAGTGGCAGTGGTGGTGGTGGTGGTGGTAATAGTGATGGCAGTAGTAGTAATAATAGTACTAACAGTAATAATAGTGTAG